ACTTCTTTTTAAAAGTCAAGATCTGACTATATGCTGTCTGTGAGAGAGATATTAGATTTAAAGATGTAAATATGTTGAAAATGAATTGAAAAAGAACATATGAACCACAGCCATAAGAAAACTGAAGTTACTATACTAATACTATTAAAAAAATAGATTTTAAAGCAAACAAAATGTCACTAGAAATAAAGAGGGAGTTTTATAATGATAAAAGTGTCAATCAAGATGATATAGTAATTATGAACATACATGCCCCAAAAAACAGAGTTACAAAAATATCTGAATCAATATCTAACATGATCAAAAAGAGAAACATAACAATAATTGTTGGAAATTTCAAAACTCCACTTTTAAAAATGGACACAAGAACTAGACAGAAGATCAAAAAAGAATTAGATGACTGGGAAAATGCTATGTAGAAGACCTTAATACCAAAATCTCCAAAATATTGCAGAAAGAAACATTTTAAAAATTATTTAAATGGAGGGGACTACCATGTTTACAGATTGGAAGACTCAATTTTTAAAAGATCTTTATTCTATCAAATTAAGCTATATGTTTATCACAGTCCTAGAATAAAACCTAACATATTATTTGTAGAAGTTGAGAAATTGATCCTAAAATGTATATGGAAATGCAAAGGATCTAGAATAACTAAAACATTCTTGGTAAAGGAGAACAAAATTGGAGGACTTTACCACCTGATGTCAAGATGTACCTTAAAGCTGCATTGATTATGGTAGTGTGGTAACTGAAAAAAGAAAAACCAATCATTACAGAATAAAAAGTCCAGTAATAGATCCACACATACATAGCCAATTTGTTTTTGACAAAGGCACCAATAAAAATCAATAACGAAAGTCTTTTTAACAAATAATAGTGGAACAACTGGGCAAACAAATCGGAGGAAAAATGAACTTTAATCCCTACTTCATGTCACAACCAATCATTTTTAAAGTTCTTGAAGAAAACCAAAGAATAGTATCTTCATAGGTTTGGCACTAACTACTTAGACCAGAATCATGAAGAAATCACAATTAAAAAATAATGAATTGGCTGGGTGCGGTGGCTCACGCCTACAATCCCAGGACTTTGGGAGGCCGAGGCGGGCAGATCACGAAGTCAGGAGATCAAGACCATCCTGGCCAACATGGTAAAATCCTGTCTCTACTAACAATGCAAAAACTTAGCTGGGTGTGGTGACACATGCCTATAATCCCAGTTACTTGGGAGGCTGAGGCAAGAGAATCACTTCAACCAGGGAGTCGGAGGTTGCAGTGAGCCAAGGTCACACCATTGCACTCCAGCCTGGGCAACAGAGCAAGACTCCATCTCAAAAGAAATAATAATAATAATAAATTGTTCTTCAAGTGAATTAAATTTCTGCTTATCAAAAGACACCATTAAGAGGCCAGGTGTGGTGGCTTATGCCTGTAATCCTAGTGCCTTGGGAGGCCAAGGCCAAGAAGCCATGTCTCTACTAAAAATACAAAAATTAGCCAGGCATGATGGCATTACACCATGTAATTACACCTGTAATTCCAGCCTCTTGGGAGGCTGAAGCAGGAGAATCACTTGAACCCTGGACAACAACACTGTCTCAAAAAAAAGACACCATTAAGAAAATTAAAAGATAAATTACATACTGAAAGAAAATATTCACAATGCCTATTTTTGACAAATAATTCTTAAGTATATGAAGAATTCTTACTACTACATAACACAAATAGAAGCAGTCCAACATAAAAAATAAACCAAAGATTGGAATAGGATCAGGAAGATATATGATTAGCCAATAAGCACATGAAAATGTTCCAACTATCAATAGTCATCAGGGAAATTTAAATTAAAATCATAATAAAATATTACTATGATCAGAAGGACTAAAATTTTAATTTAATACCTAGTGTTGGTGGAGATATTGAGCAATTGAAACTCCTGTAAGTTGCTAGGGAGAATGCAAAATGAACAGCCCCTATCATACCATAGTGGAAATTATGGAACTCTTTGAAGGTAAAACATAAATCAAAGATTTTCACATATAGTCATTTATTGCAGCATTATTTGGTATGATAAAGACTGGAAAATCCAAATGTTTCACAATGGAGGACTGTTAGATAAAATGTGTGGTATATTTTTATAAAGATTTGGTAAAGTTTTTTAAAATGGAGAAATTGTTTAAGAAATAAATGTTATTAGAAAAATCAGAATGTGAAACTATCTTTATTGGATTAAAAATCATCCTGGAAGGGGCCAGGTGTGGTGGCTCACGCCTGTAATCCCAGCACTTTGAGGGCCAAGGCAGGTGGATCACCTGAGGTCAGGGGTTCGAGACCAGCCTGGCCAATATGGTGAACTCTTGTCTCTACTAAAAATATAAAAATTAGCCAGGCTTGGTGGCACACGCCTGTAATCCCAGCTACTCGGGAGGCTGAGGCAGGAGAATTGGTTGAGGCCCAGGAGGAGGAGGTTGCAGCGAGCCAAGATGGCACCACTGCATTTCAGCCTGGGCGACAGAGTGACACTCTGTCTCAAGGAAAAAAAAAAAAGAAGGAAGGAAAAAGCCAAAATTATTATGAAATTATGTATTTTTTAATCCCCCAATCACTTTTCTGTATCTTCCAAGTTTTCTAGAGGGACAAAGCATTACTTCTATAGTCCAAAAAATGTTTATTTTTAAATAATGATTGTTTTGAATAACTATATAGTATTTAATGATGATGACTATAAAACTACTTTAGGTTTTTGACGTTGTAAATTGGCACATGGGAGTAGTTTTACTATTATTGTTAGATCCATATTCAGTTTAGTTCCTACTTTCATCAGGAAAGTAGGTGAATTCAGAAGTAACTAGGAAAAACAACAGAATCAATAGACAGTACAGAAATAGAAAAGATGGCATTTTCCAGATAAATGAACTTAACTCTTTAACCACCAAATTTTGTATTTTAAAATTTTGATGAAACTCTTTCTAACATGTACATCATAACTTCTTACTTACTATCTATATTATAGTGACAAAATTTCATCCTACCTCCTAGTCGTTTAACTTTGGAGAATTTCTTATTTCTTATCACCTGTGTTCCTCTTATCTGTATGATGGGGTTAATATTATAACCCCTTCTCGTTGTATTGGTAGGTGTGAAAAAAATGTATGTAAAGTATTTAGCAGAGAATTAGGTACAAAATAATAGACATTTGTTGCTGTTAGTATTATTACTACAAAGAATGTGTGGCACAGTAGGCATTCAATAAATTTGATTCACTGACTTGACTTATAGTGATGTCTTTAAAAGCCTTTCAGAGATCTGTAAAACTCCCACCTCTGTTAAATGGTCCCATATAACTCACTCACTAGTCATTATAGTTCCTTTCTCTGCCCATTCTTTGGCTGTTGTTCCACATTACTTTTCTTAATGTTTCAAGTTCTCCTCCTGTTTATAACCTGCTGTTTCTAATTTGCTATCAGATAACACAGCCTGTTTAAGTCAGTACACTTTCAAAGAGTTCCTGGAATACTCTTACAGCAACTCTGTGGATTAACATTTATTGCTTATTTAGCAAAACTTTTTCCTATCTAATTTTTATATCTAAGGCTAAGACTGTGTTCAAGATAGTTTAGTTTGATGAATGCCTATTTCCAGATTAATGGTAATATTTATATCAGTAAAGATTACGTGTACTATGTTATAAAATAGAAATTTTAAATTGGATGAGCATTAAATTGAAAGTCTTGAAAATGTTCAGTGAAGTAAGAAATAGAGCAAACATTTAAGCTTTTCAGCTGGTATTCAGAACTCTATAAGCAATTGAAATCTGAGTGCAGAATAATATAGTATGTAAAAATGCGAGTTCTGTGTCCTAGTCAAGCTCTGTTATTGACTTACTTCTGTGACTTTGAATAAATAGCTTAAACTCTTTGAACTTACAGTTTCTCACTTATAAAACAGAAGAGTTGGGCTAGGTTGTAACAGGCACCTTTCAGTTGCAAAATTCTGTGATTTTTATGGACCTACAGCAAGCTTATTGCTTCAAATTGTATAGAGAAGAGGGTGATGGGAAGGAATAGGAACAAAGATTATTTTGGTCATTGAAAATAGCTCTCAAGTTCTTCTGAGCATGGAGACAGATTAAAATAGAAACTATGAATATTTATTTCACAAAGGAAAAAGTGTGAGACTTTCCAACAAAGGAAGAAAAACCATAATGAAGAACATTTTACAAATGCCATAAAAATACAGACTGGCAAGTAGAGAGAATTATAAAATGTTTATTAATCTGTTGTGTCTATTTTATTTGTCAGAAAAGTGGCAGAATAAAAATTAAGAAATATTAGAAATAAGAGAAAAATATAGTGCTTATCATAAGGAATTTGACATTATTAAACAAAATACAGTACATAATATACAATACAAATTTTATAAATAAATATACAATTTAGAATTTGTAGCAGTTTTTAAAGATCTTTTAAGAGCCAATAACCATATATCCTAAAAGGATATTTGATTAGGTATTTTTTAAATTCCTTATTCTTATTATTTATGATCTATTTTCAAATGAAATTGGGTCATTTATTAAAGTAGCTATTTCTTATAAAAATAATAAAAAGGGATTTTATATCTTTGTACCATCCATGTTTAAATACTCTTGTATGTCGATCAGTTACTGTGTCTTATTTTTTCCTGTATCACTTATTTAAACAAATTTCAGAATAGACCAGGCATGGTGGCACACACCTGTAATCTCAACATTTTGGGAAGCTGAGGTGGGAGGATTGCTTGAGCCCAGGAGTTCAAGACCAGCCTGGGCAACATAGTGAGACCCTGTCTCTATAAAAAAGAAAAAAAATTAATAAAAATATTTTTTAAAAATTAGAATAATTGACATAGCTTGGACATGGTAAAGTAGTTTTCACATTTTAAAAAGCCTTTTAAACTTAGAGGAATTAACCTACAAAATGCTAGCAAAATTTATCTCATTTCATTTCATTGTATTTTCAGGTTTAACTGAACTGAATGACAGTCCAGTTCCCCTAGAACTTGAGCGCTGCAAGTCTCCTACCTCAGGTAAACGTGAGTGGCATTTTTCAGGCTTCTGGTAATTCACTGCAGTAATCTATTGCTTTTTTTCATGATCCTTATAATGTGAAATTTATAATTTTAGTAATTAGGTATAATTCCATTTATTAAATTTACTGTAAGCAAATTGATTTTAAATATCAAATACAAACAAATGTCTTTTAAAATATGTTTATCTCAAAATTAAGATCAGAAGTATAAATGCAACACTTTAAACGACATTTTAAAGGAGAGTTATTTTTCAGATACATTAATAACACTAAGTATCAAATAAAAATTGATAATATACAGAAACTTGTCATCTTCTGGCTATATGTGAATTAATGGGAAATATACAGTATATATGCAGGAGCAAATAATACCATTCCTCTGGACCACAGTTTGGAAACATGTATATTTATTGACAAAGAAAAATGATAATAGAATATGATGTGAAGCAGAACTTCAAGACAAAGTATGCACCCATTAAAATATATTTAAAATGTGAGAATAAAGATTCCTAGGGATAAATCGTTAAGGTACTATATGTTAAAAAAAATTAACGGTAATTTTTGGGTGGTAAGATTATGAGTGGTTTACCTGTTTTTTAAAATTTTTATATATTTGATAATCCTGATTTTTCTATAATGTGTATATAGTTCTGTGTAAGTATATAAGCATCAAAATCATTAGATCTGTTTTTACAGAGTAACAAGAAATTGTAGTTCCTTTTTATTTACATTATTTTAATTTGAACTTTGTACAAATTTATAAAAGTTTAATAATACCATTATAAAGCAGTGAATCTTGACTTGTAGAAATTAATTTAGAATTGCAGCATTTCTTCAATGTATTCCATCCCTGAAAAGTTGTTAGTTCTTTATTCTTATTCTTCAGGAATCTAGACTATATATAATCTAGTTAAATCCTATGTAAATTTTTCTTTTGGTCATAAATTTTTAATGCTTATTCTATTGGTTTTATTGTAAAGAATGTCTTATTTGTTTACCCTTCCTTTTGCATACTCATTGACACCAGCCTAATTTAGGTATTTATTGCTCCATACCTATGGTATCATACAAATACTCTAGTAGGTGTCTGTACTTCCTCTCTCTCCCTCTTATGATTAATTTCACGTCATGTTGTAAAATTAATATTTTTAAAATATTACTTTGATCACATTTTCCCATAGTTATAAATCTTCGATATCCTAAATCAAATTTACATAATCTAACTTTAAATTCTGTTATAGCTGGCCAGGCACAGTGGCTCATGCCTGTAATCCCAGCACTTTGGGAGACCATGGAGGGAGGATCACTTGAGACCAGGAGTTTAGAGACCAGCCTGGGCAACATAGCAAGACCTGTCTCATTAAACATAATAATAATAATTTTTTTAAAATTTTAAAGATCATTGTAGCTGTTCTACCTTTTTGGTATTGTCATATAACTTTAGAAAGAATTTGTCAGTTCACACACAAATGCTTAGATTTTGATTACAACTTCATTGGCTCTATAGCTCAACTGGACAGAATTAACATATTCAAAAATATTAAATTTTTCATTTAGTATCTCTATTTGTATGTCTACTTTCTCCCGGCAATATTTTTGGGGTTTTTTATAGAGGTCTCACACATCTTTCATTGAATTTATTCCTTTGTGTTGTTTTTTTTTTTTTGTATTATTGTATTTTTATTTTTTTTTAATTGTGGTTAGAATATGAAAATACACTAATATTTGTGTATTGAGCTTGCACCTAGAAAACTTGCTAAATCTATTTCTTAATTCTTGTAGTTTGTAAAATTCTTTGGATTATCTGTGTATCCAAGTATGCTCCTTGTGAAAATGAAAGCTCCATTTTCTCCTTCTAAAGGAAGAAAGTGGCTAGGGCCTTCAATACAATGTTGAATAGATGTGGTGTAAGTAGACTTTTTTTTCCTTGTGCCCAGTCTCATTGATAAGGCTTGCAATAATTCATAATTAATTATTATAATTGCTGCAAGTTTTTGGTAAATTTGCTGTTTTTAGTCCTCTACCTATGATGTTTCTTCTTTTGTTAATGTTACAGCAGACTTAGAAACACCACCACAACCACTGCACTTAATTTTTAATTTCCAAGCAGACTCAGAAAACTGTGCATGCAATTAAGTGGACTGTTTCAAAGCAGGAAAATTTTGACTATTTTTGTATTATGTTACTTGGGGAAATGATGGATTGTGATAAGATTCATTTGTTACTTCAATACTTTGCTTGATACTGGCCTACTGAGCAGATCCCACTCTTCTTTATAAGTATTCATAGTTGAGGAATGAGAGATTTTTTTTTCCTTATAACAGTTTTGTAATCATTAAATGTTATATTTGTTAAACCATGTGCAATGCATCCATCTGGGAAAAGTGCTAATGGAGTTTATTATATAAGAATATTGGAAATCATCACAATATTTGCTGATTTTATTCATTTTCCATCAAAGAGAATGATAATTAATTGTGTTATTTATTTATTATATAATTAGAGGGTCATTTAAAGGACAATGTGCCTGTTATTATTTCCAAAATATAAATACAATACATATACAATAGCCACACATATACCTAAAACTACATTCTACAGTCTCTTCCTGCTGTTGTAGGAATTGCTGCATCCAATCTTGATTATCAGAAAAGGTATGGTTTGGGTGAATGCAGAATTTTTAGCCCAATTACATAAAACTAAAACATAACTATGAAATAAGCAAACTTAAGGCTTTAACAGCAGAGTTTACAAAACTAGTGAAACGTATTGTCTCTAGAGGTAGAAAAGAATGAGAATATAATGAAAGTGTTTTGATAACCTTTTAGAATCAATAGGAGTTATTAAGGGAAACTAGAAAGGTTGTAATACAGTCTAACTTTTGAGAAATTAAGAAAAGCAGCCATGTCCTCCTAATAACAATATCTTTGATTTATACCCTCAAAAATAGTTCATGAATTCTAACAATGACCATCCTTATGTTTGTATCTGAATATATGTCCCTTTAAAAAAACAAAATTATACATAGCATTTAAGAGCCAATACTATTCTTGCCTTTTCTCTCTTCCTTTTTTTTTTTTTTTTTTTTTTTTTTGAGACGGAGTCTGGCTTGGTCGCCCAGGCTGGAGTGCAGTAGCATGATTTCGGCTCACTGCAACCTCCGCCTCCCAGGTTCAAGCGATTCTCCTGCCTCAGCCTTCCAAGTAGCGGGGACTACAGGCGGGTACCACCACATCCAGCTAATTTTTGTATTTTTAGTAGAGACGGGGTTTCACCACGTTGACCAGGATAATCTCAATCTCTTGACCTCGTGATCCGCCCGCCTCAGCCTCCCAAAGTGCTGGGATTACAGGCATGAACCACCGCGCTCAGCCTTTTTAATAGCCATTCTGACTGGTTTAAGATGGTATCTTAATGTGGTTTTGATTTGCATTTCTTTAATGATTAATGAATAATGTTGAGCATTTTTTCATATGTCTGTTGGCTGCTTGTGTCTTTTTTTTAGAAGTGTCTGTTCATATCTTTTGTCTACTTCTTAATGGAGAATTTGTTTTGTGCTTGTTGAATTGTTTGACTTTCTTATAGATTCTAGATATTATAACTTAATTGGATGTGTAGGTTGCGAATATTTTTTCCCATTCTGTAGTTTGTCCACCCCATTGATTGTTTCTCTTGCTGTGCAGAAGCCCTTTAGTTTAATTAGGTCCCACTCATCAATTTTTGTTTTTGTTTCAGTTGTTTCTGAGGATTTAAGTCATAAATTCTTTTTCAAGGCCAGTGTCCACGATGGTATTTCCTAGGTTATCTTCTAGGATTCTTATTGTTTGAGGTCTTACATTAAAATATTTAACCAATCTCAAGTTCATTTTTGTATATGGTGAAAGGTTATAACTATGATTTTCTACGTGGATCTCAAACTTCCTTATACCCCAGTGAACTACAGGTAAAATAGAGTGAGGGCTCAGACTTAAACATTTCCTTGAGGATAATGCAGGAGAAAAGAGTAGATGCTGGAGCTGGAAGAATCCGTTGAGTCAAATGGAATGCCAATGTTCTCAGTTTCCAAGATAATATAAAGCTTTATATTATCTATTCATTCACTCAACTATACATCAAATAATTTCCAGTTTCTACAGCTAGACATTATGCTATCCACTGAGGATAAACTAATGAACAAAATAAACATATTTCAAATGAAGAAATAAACGTTAAACCTTAATTATATAAATTGTTCATACCTTTTTAAAGGCTGTACAACCTTTTTTCACTCACCAGCTTGTACTGTACAAATTCACCTCCCAAGAGGGTAAGTGCTAACAATCAGCCCTAGCTTCACTTACCTGGTACAGGACTACAATCTCTTAAAGAAAACAGATCCTTCTTATTTGAACAAAGAATTGAAAACTTACCAAGCGTTCAACTGTGGGGCTGTGTCTTTCCAAAAGTTGTTTGTTTTCTAATGCCCTACTTGAATGTATGCCTTTTGTCTAATTCTTTACTTGGATTAATATCTTTTTCTATACTAGCATTAGGTTCTGACACTTCTGCTACCTGTATAGACATTCACCTTCATAATTCTCAATGCACAATCTACAACAGATTTATTATGCTATCAAGTTCAAGTGAAGGGTAGGATGATAGAAATTTATGTATTTATTAAATGTGTCTTTATTAAAATATCATAGAGGTTACTCACAAATACTAACAAAGGAGTACCAAACTCTGTTGTTCTCAGGATTGGCCCAGAGCTTGGTCTTACAGCTTAGTTTGAATGCTCCTTCTGGGCAATCCTATGTGCCTAAAGTCCTCATATAGTCTCCAGAAACCTTTCTTCTCCCTCCAAACAGTCTTCTCTTGGGGCAGAATTTATCTTTATTTTAGATGAAGGTACAAAAGACAGATCTTTCAAAATAGTTATTATGAAATTCAACTTTAAAGTTAAAATTCTTGGTTCACTTAGGCTATGATACTGCATGCCAATAGTTTTGTATTCCCTTC